CACACTCTGTCATCAGTGTGTTGAGGTGTGGCCCAAGTAAACGCTTAGAGGGTATAGGTCAAACTACCTGGGAGATAACAGTTTCAAGAGGACGTCTTCATGGGGCGTGTGTGAGTTCAGAACAGATACATAGATAGAGGGAGAGAGAGTAACACACGCACACAAACACACACACGCACACCGTCAACCTAGTCACTCTACAGGCTGTCTGGGGCTAAACAGTGCCCCTTACTGGTCAGCATCAGTACAGCCAGTGTGTTCATTAAAGGCCTAATGTGTTACATCTGCAAAGATCTCAGATAATAAGTGACTGAAATATAATGTTACCATCATAAATAATAACATTCAATCTTATACTTTTAACCTATTTCCTTTTTAATGTGGCTTCAGTATTACTCCTCATACAACAGATTCTATGAATCTATGTTATCACACACTACAGCTACATTGTACTATGAATGGAGATGATGAGAGTTGTTATTGTTGACTTTTTTTGTACTGTAAATGTTTTAAGGGTTAGTACACCCACAAATCAGCAAAACTTTCTAACATATCAGCCATTAAGTTTTGGTTTTATTTGCCCATGTTTAGCTGTATTAGCGATCCATTAACCTCTATAAAAGAGGTAAATGGATCTATGGATTCCATAAATGTGTCCATGTTACTTAATCAACAGACTTCACTGTGGACTGTTTTTATAGGAGCTGGTTTTTACAGAAGAAATAGTCCCTGTGAAAATGAGTTTAAGAAAAATACTGCAGCTGAAATTTTCTAATGCTTTTTCTGTTCTTTTACCGTTTTGAGCACCACAAATTAAATTCCACTTTCCTTCTTTGTATTGGGGTGCCAGCAAAGGTTTTGAAAAATAGTTTTTCGTGTGATTTTTTTTAATCCTCTGGCAGGTGCTTTGCAGACAAGCTCTGTTTAAAACCACAAGTAAATGTCTCATTGTTTCCAACCATACCAAATAAATGGAATTTCTTAAAAATAAATGCACAAAATATTTAGAATTTTTCCTTTGTTGTAAAGGTACAGCAAAAAAGAAATGAGTCTGATTATCAGACTGAATTGCTTTTTCTTTTTCTCTTCAGCTTTTGATGTTATTTATTTATTCATTTGAACTGCAAAAAAAAAAAAATCTAAGTTGTGGTTGGTGTTTCTAGAGGTGTGGAACCAAGCAGATAAAAATGGTGTTGGTGTTGAATTCTACTGAAACTGTGATATTAAACTAGAACATATTTATCTTAGAGTTCTTCCTGCATATAAATAACGGCAAAAAATATACTTTAATCAGTAGAGTCAACAATAGATATTATGTTGACTCTGTCTTACTTTCTCTCTCTGTCTCCAGTCAGCAGAGTTTCCACAGTGGAACATTTTAGAGAATGAGGAGGAAGAAGAGGAGGAGGAGGAGGAGGAGGAGGAGGAGGAGGAAGAGGGAAAAAGGAAACATGTTGCTGCCAACTCTTCAGACCCCACAGAGCTGGCATAGTTTGTGTGTGTGTGTGTGTGTGTGTGTGTGTGTGTGTGTGTGTGTGTGTGTGTGTGTGTGTGTGTGTGTGTGTGTGTGTGGCTCTATGAAGTGGGAAACTCAAGTCCTAGCTGGTACAGGGAGGCTTATTTCCACACTGGGAAACGTTTCACACACACAAAACACACACACACACACACACACACACACACACACACACACACACACACACACACACACACACACCAGCTTTCTCCAGGATTCTCATGGATCTATGAGGGTCAAAATATTCCGTCCAATCATTCTGGCATTTTCCACAAAACACTTCCAAACCCCAAACAAGTTGCATTAACATCTTTCTCCCACAACAACTAGGTTACTGGTTTGAATCCCCCAATCATAACTAGATACTGTTTCTACTCAAAAAGGGAGGTGCCCTTAAGCAAGGCATTCAATCTTTTAAACATTTCCATTTGGGTTTGTTCAGTGGCTGAATAAATACCTCCTTTGGTTGTGTTAGCGTTACTGAATTAAGATGAACATTATTAGAAATGTACACTGAAGTAGAACTATAGCGACTTGGAGAACTGATCTGACTCTTGAGTTGCTGTAATCGCCAAACAAATCATTCCTATTAATTGCATTTTAGGTTTAATGGTTTTATTGACTCAGTGAAGACAATCAGATTTGTGTCTCCACAAGCTTTTTTGTTGTGGCTTAAAAACAGTGATAGAGAACAGATGGAAAACCCACATCTGGATCATCACTAAAACTTAATCAGTGTTACATTGGCCCCAAGCCCTGACGCACAGTCAGAAACAAAATGACAGAGGTAAATACATGACGCAATATTTTAAAGGGGCACTCCACCCAGGTTGACTTGGAGACGTCAATTTTTTTCTCAAACTCTGCGATCACTTTTTCGTATGTTTGTAGCCTTTTACTCAAACTCAGTGTGTTGATTGACATAGTTGTGATGACCGCATGACTTTAAAGGTCCAGTGTGTAACATTAAGGAGGATCTATTAACAGAAATGGAATATAATATTCAAAGGTACATTTTAATTAGTGTATAATTACCAGAAAATTTGAATCGGTATGTTTTTGTTACCTTAAAATGAGATGTTTTTATCAGTGCATCGCCTTCAATGGAGGCACCCCCGTGCTTCTACAGTAGCCTAGAAGGGACAAACCAAGCACTGGCTGTAGATAGGGCCACCATGGTTTCAGCTAAACACTTCACAGCCAGTTCTCATTTCCAAATCCTACACACTGGTCCTGTAAAACACTGATCTGATAAAGGGTCTCAATGCTAACGGCCCAGGAATTACAGTTAGCCTTGGTTATCAGGTTGCATTCATGAACTTCAGTTAAATTACTGTTATACTTGTGCATTAGTCTGAACAGACCTGTCAGTGACAACATCTGTAGTATCATAATTGGAGATAATCTTTCCCCAACCATAGTAGGCCGAGTAAGTAGTTTAGGCTGCCTAAATTTAACCAAACCATAACCAGATCAGACCAGGGAGGAAGACTCTGACAAACAAACTATGAGGACTTATTTTGTTGATGATAAGTCTGAACAAGACAAAACGCAAGAATGAGAGCATAATGGACTTTTACCCCGCTGAGGCCAAATGGGGTGTTTGACCATCTCTGTCAAACCAGTCTGACCACGCTCCTCACCAGATGGTGGAGGTACTGCACCATTTCATTATTGGTCAACCGCCATTAATTTAAAAGAGGAGGGGAGAAGAAGAGTTTTAGGCTGTGGTCTATTATTATTCACAGAGAGCACAGTCTTTTAATTTGTATTGGTTATACCTCGCGCTGGGACCAGACAAAAAGACACTGTTGCTGTGTTTCTCAGCATACTTTGTGTTTATAAGTCAGACTTAAGTAGAAGTCCTTTATATAAAGCAAGGAGATCCCCATGTTCCTCTAAAAGTAATGTTTTTCATGATGCTTAGTGTGAGAGTGTACGGGTTGAGCCTGATATTCGACTGTAAGCCCGTTAGGATGTTGACCCACAGCTCAACAAGCTTGTAAACTAAAACTGGTTAATAGTTCTGAGCTACACTGTGACTGTCAGGGTTGAAATCTTGCCAAAACAACAATTCAATCACATTACATTTTATTTGCATAGCACCAAATCATTACAAAAGTTAACTCAGGACACTTTTCAAATAGAGCAGGTCAAGATCAGAATCCTTCTAAAATTATTCACAGATACCCAACAGTTCCCAGCAAGCACTTGGTGACAGCGGTAAGGAAAAACAACAGTTACATGTAGCCTATATGTTTTTTTTTTACATACTAGACACAACGTTAACATTCAAAACAGACTTGTGTAATGCAGCCCTTAGCATGTGTCCATTCATCCATAAACCTGCAAGTGCAGACAGAAACAGCACTACACTCTTTCCTGAGTAGCGGTTCAGCGTCGCCGTGGCAACAGCATCACCTCTTTTTCCTCGCCTTCTGGAGATCTTTTTATAATGTCTATCAGCATCCTCTCTTTCTCTCCTTCACTTTAAATCTGTGGATTTTTATTTCAATGGCTGCATGGCCAATATACAGAGATAATGAATTTACATTTCTGTTTAGAAGCATTTAGACAGTAGTGTAAATGTATGAATTAATCAGTCATATCTTTATAAATACACAACAAAGATTTGAATGCAGTCCACCATCATGCAGGCATAAACTATGAACTAAGAATGATAAAATTACAGGGGTGATCATTTACTTTTCAATGCAATTTACAGCTAAAACAGCACTTAAATGACATTAAGTTCTCTGCCTGCCTTAGTACCAACACACCATGTTTATGAACTGTTATAATCATGTGCATTTACTGCACTGTAGAGTTAATTTGCTATTTATGTATGTATGTTTGTATGCATACATGTGATTGTCTGAGGGGGCCATCAGTCCATTATCATGAAAAATGACATTATCAAATTAAAGTGCCATTAATCATAATTAGACTGACCTCCAATGAAACTGTCACAAAATAAGAGCTTTTAAGGAGTTTTGATCGTAACTTGATTTGTGAAATGTATTTTTGTGATTTTACACTATTTAATCGCATGATTATTTAATAATATCATGAATATTTATCATTAAAGACTTTTGTTTCTATTTTATTATTATTTTGTTTATCTATGTAGCTATTCTGATATAATGCCTCCACTATTGTGGCCACAGTCTGTCCCAATGCTGTTATTACTACGAGCATGAAATAACGTCTGAATTTAAAATACAAATAAATGAAACGACTAAAAGCAATATAATCACAATTATAGAACTTTTATGAGGCTGGAAACTAACTGTAAAATAATGAAATAATCAAACTCAGCTAAATATAACATTTGACATAATTACGAAAACATTAAAATAAATCCTATTTTCCACTAAATAAACACCTGTGTAATCTTTATACACAGGCCTTTGTGTGTAGACTTATCCCAGGGCTGTATGCATACTACAGATCGTCACCCCCTCCCTTCCTCCCTCCCGCATCATCATCATAACACGGAAGCAGTAGACAGACAGTGGGGGAGCAGGAGAGGCGCAGACACAGGGAGGGAGGTTAAGGCAGGTAAAAACTGGATTGCAGACAAACAGAGAGACACAGGTAGAGAGGCAGGTGCAGAGAAATAAACGCAACACAAGTAAACAAAGACACAGAGCGAGCATCATGGCGCTGATCCCCTCGCAGGTTCTCCGGGTCGCCATCCTGCTGTCTTATTTCTCCATCCTCTGCCACTACAAAGCGTTAGACATGCCGGCACACCAGACCTACGGAGGCAGCTGGAAGTTTCTGACCTTCATCGATCTGGTAGGATTTCACATTTTCATTTAAACCCCACACAGCCGGTAAGTTAGCTCAATGTGCTGCAGAGTCGGCGCTTCGTGTTGCGATCGCCACATTTAAATGATTATTCAGCGTTTCCGCCTCCCGTGCACTCGCTGTTCCGGTGTTTAATGCATCGTTAACGGGGGGGGAGGGGGGGGCGTACGGTTGCAGTAATAGACGCTAAATGTGCTTTTGAAGCACACACAACGTGGTCGACAGGGTGAACTCACTGTTGTAGTGGCTGAACCGGAACAGGTGTTACGGTGCAGAATGCATTCCTGTCACAAATGCCTCCCCCGCCCCCCGCCCCCTTTCCCGCGGGACCGCGCAGCGCGTACACTGCTGGTTGTAAAAGCTTCCCAGGCAGCTAGAAGAGGCTGCAGCTCCTTTGACATTGGTTTGAGTTGGTTTTATTATCTCATTCAACAAGCTGCGCATGATACACCTCTCAGATTATTCACAAAACAAACAAAAACAAACATTATACAAATATTACAAACTGCATATAAAACAAAGTGCTGTGCACAGTGAAATATGTGGTGCACAAAGGTTGAGTTGCACGTTTAAAAACTTTCCTTTGTCTTATTCTGTGGAAAAAGTTAAGAGTGCAGCAAGGGAGGACTTGCACAGAACAAAAAAGGGATCTGGATTATAAATATTTCTGTCAGATACAGTACAGGCCTGTACAGACGGTGAAAGACGTGTGAAAAAGTGCAATTGTTTCATCTTGGACTTGTGCACGCTCACACAAATCTGCAACAAAAATGAATGGGACATCTACTCCCAGGGTCAACTCTGAATACTCAGAGGCATTGCTGGATGTGACAGCCCCAGTGATTAATTTCAAACAGCAAGAGATTGACTCAGTGGAAGGGATACTCCAAACTAAGAGCAATACAATGTATCTGAAGAAAATGGAGGCAGCTTAGATTTAGAGTTAATGAACATAAAAGTCGGTTGGTGCTTTTTTTTTTCAATTATTCTGTCTCGGGTTTGTCATTCTGTGGCACTGACATGATGATGTGTAATATACCAGCATGTGTTATATTCTTCTAATGTGTTTGTAATTACCTTGTAATTGGCTTCATGTGTGTTCAATTAAGCCCCAGATCATTGACTATGCACCCCTTGAGTAAACCATATATTGGGTGACTCATCACGCGTGACTCACTTTGCACTGAGGTCCAATATGAACCGAAACATTTGCTCTTTCACACTCTCTGCACATTTCTTCACTGTCTGTACATCCTTGTAATATATCAAAAATACATTTTCAGTGTGAATTCCTTTTTGGTTCTCCGTCTGCGAGTTCTCCCTTGTTGCGCTATAAAATTGAAATATGACACAAGATAAACACACTAAAAGTTCAAATAACTTATTAGTGGTTCTGAATAAAGAGAGATTTTATGTATTGCACTTTTAAAAGCAAACTGTTGGTCTTTTGGAAAGTTACATTTATATTTTACTTTCATTTATTAATAGCTAAACAAGAAAAAGTACAGATAAACTGTTTATATGATTTAAGATGAGAGAGTGCAGGTTACTGAGAAATCACTGTGATCTGTTGGTGAAATTGTTGTTGATCATAATATAGAGTTACCTGTACTTATACATGATAGATATACAACAGAATAAAAGTTTGTACACTTAAAAAGAACCAAACTAAATTTAGTTTGAGTAAATGTGGAAAAAAAAACCAAAAATATTAAAGACAAATGGAGCCAGAACATGTGGCATTTAGTTTGACATTCAAAACTGAATTTGTCATTTGAACAATAAAACCTTTTAAATAACTGCATAAGTCACGTTGATGAAAAGTGTTCCTGCAATGAATTATTCATTTTCATAGCAGAGTTATGATTATCACAGAAAAGCGACGTCCATCAGGGAGAACCTGCACCAACATCCCTCGCAGTCTGATCCCATTCACTGTTAATGTCTAATGTCTAACCAGTGAACAAAGTGTGGAAACACTGTGGAGAACAACGTAGAACGATATGACACCTCTGACAGTGCAGGAAGGTTCCCAACAGACCTACCTCATGCACCTGAAGTCACATGATCAGCAGCCAATCTCTGAATGCTGATCATAGTTTCAACTCTCTGCTTTTTATTTCAAAATAAAAGCACAATATTATTTAAGATAACTTCATGCAGGATTAGCAGAACCAAACCAAGAACCAAATTCGCTACATAAGAATGATTAGGATTATTTCAGGGCCCTAAATTGACATAAGCAACGTTTTAGAACATTTTAAGCACAAAAAAATAACAAATGGCGTGATTACAATTTGTATCTCTTTACTACAAAAGCTTCTTTATGCAACAGTTGAGGGGCAGTACAAGCTAAGCTTCATAACCAGTATCATCATGGATTCTGAAGTGAAATTAAATTAAGGACTTTACGCTATAATGACCAGTAAAATTGGAAGAAGACACAAACACACAGCTCCCTGTCCTCCCAAACACATACATGCATTCACAAAGAGGCAGCTCTACTAGAGACTAATTCGGTTAGCCAGTTATTCACAAACATATCATGTCAACTTAAGCAATAACATCGCACAGAGTGAGAGCTATGAACCAGCTATAACAAGCTAACCATCTTGGTTAACTGTTGTAATTTAATGTTGGGTTACTTTTTCTGTCTTTTCTTGTATGTACAGATGCTCAGCTGTGTTTACTGTACATTGGACTAGTGACACTGGACTGGTGTTCAGAGTGTTACGAAAGGATGAGCAAAACTTTCTAGGATATCACAAACTTATTTGATTGGATGCCAATAAGCCAATCACAGGGTACCACATCATCTGAAGTGGACTGCAGTAGAGGCACAGCCCATTATAGTCTATCATCTGATATTGAAATGGACAGAAAAAGTAACACATAATTAAAATTAAATTAAAAATAAGCACAACAATTATACTTACTTATTGCTATTAATAATAACATGTCATATGTTATAATGTATCTAATAAAATATTGATTTATAAAAGGCCTAAAGGGTTAATAAACATCAAAACAACGTATCTTAGCAGTGCTTAAGTTGAGGCCTGTTTAAAGGCAACAGAATTCCCTCTGAGTGATACCTCTGTGTGTGTGTGTGTGTGTGTGTGTGTGTGTGTGTGTGTGTGTGTGTGTGTGTGTGTGTGTGTGTGTGTGTGTGTGTGTGAGAAACAGCTGTGTCATATTTTCCACATTAGACCTCTCCTCCTGGTTAACTGTCCTGTTAATGACCTGTACACATCAGCAGCCAGGAAACACACACTGCTGCAACATCTGGCTCTTTGTGTGTGCGTGTGCGTGTGTGTGTGTGTGTGTGTGTGTGTGTGTGTGTCAGTTTGTGTTGGTGTATGAACATGTGCAACGTGACGCCCTGCAAATAAGTGCTACACTGACACTGAAACACACACACGATTGCTGCGCGATCCATTTCACGAATGCAGGCACTTTGATTGCGCGCGTGTTGAGCCTCGCTGCTAGCTGACTTCTCATAGGAACCCATTTATTCATGTAGCAGGAAAGCTAATTCAGGCACATTATTGCACTCACATCAACATTTCAGTTAATACACACGCACAAACGTGCATGGAGGTAACAGGCAACACACACATCAAGAAGGGTAAGTATTTTTAGACAAAGGGATGATACACAAACGCACACATCAGAGGAGAAATGGCATCCGATAGCTTTAAAGCCAAAATGTCTCCAAGGTCCAGCCGTCCCTGCACACAGTGGGCGACACGCGATACTCCCACTGGGAGATTAGAGAAGAGGAGGAGCGGAGAGGAGGAGAGATGGCTGTGAGCATCCCCTCCATCTTTCTCTGGTAAAGAAGGTCAGATCCATCATTATGAACATATTGATGGGAGTGTTTCATTACAGAGAGAATGCGGTTAAAACAGAGAGCTGGTTTCTCTCTCGCCACAGTTCACTTAGTGCCCTACAGCTCCTTCTGAGTTTTATCTAAATACAATGTGTCTCAGAAGGAAGATCATTTATTATTATTATTAATATTATTCACAGTGGACAGCTCCCAGAGGCAGGCAGTTCGAACATGTAACATGTAGGAGGTGACTGAAAAACAGTGTTGCATTCACAGGCTAAAGATCTGATTATGGTGGTAGGGTAGTTTTCTAATCTATATTACTGCACATTACATTCTACTTTATAGTTAAACCACAGTTTTAATTGTAATTCCACTCAGCTCTTTGGAAGACAGGTTTAACTATAATCAAGAGCAATGATAAGAAGACATATTTAATGGTCATCTTCTTGCTTTTCTCTGAAATATTAAAGTTTCTCAGTGTCCTCGTATCTCACACTGATTAACAAGTAGCTGCTGGTGACGTTTTCCATCCCAGTTCCTTTCCATTTTATTCAAATATGGACAGTGTTACATTATGTTCGGATACTTACAGCAGTGCTGCCTTTCAAATGGAACTGGTGAGGCTGTGTTTTCAATATGGCAAGTCAAGTACAGGATATGTTTGGCATTCAAGTGGTTTAAGTTTGAGAACACTGTTGCTAGGTGACGGGCAATAAAATGGAAATTGCTTTGCTCCCTTTGAAAGACGGCAAATGATTTTGTGTTTATTAGATTTCAGCATTAAGTTCAGGAAGAAGAGTAAACCCCAAAAACAATTAAAAAAACACAAAAAAGTTATGAATACTCCAAATAGTCTGCAAACGTGACCCCAACCGAAGGCACGACTGAACTGATCACACAAAGTTGGATGTTACTTTGATTATAAATCTCACTGTTCTGGTTGCATGAAAAAGTCAAATGTTCACTCAGTTACTCTGCATATAGTGGTGTGTTCTTCATTCTATCACCAAAAAATATCGCAGTATATCACCTTGCTTACAGTATCGCAATGTATTGCAATTTATTGAATCGTGACCCCTGTATCGTGATACGTATCGTATCGTACACAGCCCTAAAACAAGGACCACAAAAACAAAAACACACCGTCGGTCATATTTGCTGGTTCTCCAGCTGGCTGCTCATCTTAGACCTACGCAAGTGTCTCCAGCCCCTTCCCTCTCTTGAGGATGTTAAAATGACTATGAAATTACTGACTGAAGTAGAAGAAGGCGAGGCAGGTTAAGGAAAAGTGGGTGCACCACAAAATGCAAAGATTGTTCTGATTGCAGTGCAGCTTTAATGTCTAGTTGTGCTCTCTCATCATCTCTTCCTCTCCAAACTCCTCTTCTTTCGCTTTCTTGCTCCAAAAAAAAAGTACTGTCTAAGCACTGTCTTTCTCCCCCTCGCTCTATCTCTTTGAAGTGTTTTGTCATGTGAAAACATTGTAAGCCGCATCGTAAGCTCTCTGAACTCTCTGGGCCTCTCCTCTGTAGGTGATCCAGGCGGTGTTTTTCGGAGTGTGTGTCCTGATCGATGTGTCCAGTCTGCTGACTAAGGGAGGCGACAGCAGGGAGCAGGAGCGGCAGTTGAGGAAGCTGATCGGCCTGAGGGACTGGATGATGGCTGTACTGGCCTTCCCCGTCGGAGCGGTGAGGGAGATGGATGCATACAACCAAACAAACACACACTTTAACACACACACACACACACACACACACACACACACACACACACACACACACACACTCAAACATACAATAGCCTGAGGAAGGATCAGCCTGGTTTGCAGGAATCAAAGGCTTGACTAATGCATGTGCAGGATAATCAGCTCTCTCTCCCTTTTTCTTTCTTCCTCTCTCGCCCTTCTTCGGTCTCTCTGAACTGTGGTCCAAATGTTGATTCAGGGGGCTTTTCCTTCCTGATAAGACTCGTCGGCTACTCGACTCATTGGCTTAATAAGCGTGTGGATGTCAAAGTGCTACATTTACACTTAGCAAGTAAAAGAATCCCTTCATATTTTTTACATGAAACAGTCAGGTTTGGACATTACGGAGGAATCCTTGTGTCCTTTCCTGTATCACATGGGTTCAGTGAGCCAAAATCTCCCTCCAAAAGCCTTCATGTTTGAGGGTTTACTTAACAGCAAGAATAAACTATTCAATGGCATCTGCAAGTTATATAAAGGCTTGTTACCAGCAACCACAGATACTGGCTGACAAATGTGGGAGAGAGAACTAGAGCGGAGTGTAAGTGATGAGAAGTGATGCCTTTTCTGTTCAAAAATTCAGAAACGCACCCAAAATACGAGGCATTAACTCTCTCAACTCAACAGGGAGATTTGATGGTGACGGAGATGGAGTGGGCGGGTTGAAAGGCTTTGCGTAACTGTAACAGCGACAGAGATTATTCATAATCAACAGATGTACATTTCTGTTGGAGAAATACTTGAAAATGTATCTACAACAGTTTAGAAATCAGTTGAGAAATCAGTCTAAATAAAAGGTCTACATAGTAGAGCTGTCGATCATATCACATGGTCTTCATCGGCAAAGGGAGTTTGCCTCATTGTGGAATTGTAGATGTTCAAATTTAAATTTATTTCCTCTAAGAATTTAAAGGACTCATCCAAACTAAACAGTTGTGAAAATAATCTCACCACAAGTTCCATTTAATAACCGCTCTGGAGCTTTTGATCATATCACATGATCTTTATCAGCAGATGAAAGTGGTTTAATGTCATTTATCAAGCAAAACAGCCAAACAGCTCATCATTCAAACTTTGCAAATATGATGATTTGCTGCTTTTCCCTGTTTTGTGTCAATGTAGGTTAAATAGTTTTGAGTTTTGGGCAACCTGAAGACGTCACCTAAAGCAATTGAAACAAATAATTGATGATGAAGTCAACTTGTTCTATTTGAAGGTGTTAAATATTGGTAGCAATAACATATCCGGCGCAAGTAGCTCCGGTGTCAACATACTGAGCCGTGTAATCTTAGTTGAATCTTGCTGTGAATAAACAGAACGGAGGAAACGGTGTTGAGTCGTCCTCTGTTGCCTCAGACACTCAGACAGTGACCTCTGTCTGATCCTCAAGCTGTTCTCACAAAGCTGGCAGACTCTGCTCACATGGTTCCTCACACACACACACACACACACACACACACACACACACACACACACACACACACACACACTTTTATTCAAGATTTCAGTTGGCAAGGTGCCCTGTTGCTGCCTCACTGAGGAACTTGTATGGCTGTCTGACCACAAGGTTTCGACACACACGTGTACACACACACACACACACACACACACACACACACACAAAGACTATGCATACGATACGCACACACAGACTCTAATCAACTGCCCTAAGCAACCAGCGTGCCAGCGGGATAGCTGCCACAGCCAAGGCTACAACACACATCCACTCTGTCTGACACACACATACACACCTATAGAAGCAGTCAGCTGGCATGGTGCCGTGTGTGTGAGTTGGGCACAGAGTTCAGTTTACACATAGTACAATGGACATGATTATCACCACAGCTAATGTCTGGAAACCTAGCCTGGCTGATATGGAAAGAGAGTGTGTGCACGCGGCTGAATGTGTGTTGCGCCGCTTATATGTGTGCCCGAGTGTGCAGGTGCATGTTACATGTATATGTGCATGCATGACCATATGGGCCATCTCTTTTTGTGCAGGTCAGCGTGGAAACTAAAGGAAGTCTGTGTGTATATGTGACACACAGGTGTGTGTGTGTGTGTGTGTGTGTGTGTGTGTGTGTGTGTGTGTGTGTGTGTGTGTGTGTGTGTGTGTGTGTGTGTGTGTGTGTGTGTGTTTCCTGCCTCCACCGGCCTGTTGAAAGCAGAGACCTCGCCGATCAGGGTACAATAGGGGGGGTTGGTTCAGATGCCTCGAACTGGAACCCAGATGACGGTCAGGTAATTCCACCCCCGTCCTGCAGAACATGGTCTGGCCCGGGTCCAAACAGTCTGCTGGAGATACATTAGACCGGGAGTTTGTTACCTTATGTTCAGGACATGTGCGACGGGAGGTGGCCGGGACAGCTGGCTCTGGATATTACGGATGCTCAGCTAGAGGCCTACGGTATATATATAGTATGGCAGCTGAGAATTAACAAGACTAAACATCTGTAGCCATGTTAGTGAGCCTGTGAGGCTATAAAACTCTTTACACACCAAAAAATAACAATTTGATGGATGTAAAATGGTCTTGATTGATTGATTGATTGATTGATTGGTTGATTGATTTTATTTATGGATTATAAACTGGTAGGGCACTCAAATGTAAAGTTGTGCCTGGTGTCAGAGGAATGGCCACGTTGTTCATCAGATATATTTTGGCTTTTACTCCAGCTCATCTTTACTTTTAGCTCACTGGTGACATTACATTAAATGTAAGCACAATAACATGCTAACATGAGGGATGTAACTCACGATCCTATACAATTCATGATACTGGGTTCACAATATGATTTCCAAAACAAAATGAGATTAAAGAAGAAATAATGACCGAAAGAGATTCACTACCAATCTACCAAATATATTTTTTCATATATTTTCTTTGTCAAATTAAAGAATCCTTTTTATTTCTGAAGTAGGGTAGAAAACTGTGCAAAACAATGCATATTCCCTTTTCTTTGTAAAAGTGAAACTGAAAATATAACTCTGCCATCTACGGAGAACAGTCCAACAGCCTTATATTTCTTGCCAGTGTCGTGTCTGTTATCGTCTCATCTTTCACATTTTCTGACTTAGGGAAGCCAAAAAGCTGCCACACCTCCGCCCCTGTAAACAGGTGATGCATCCTCAGTTTCACAGCTGCCTCATGTCTTTGCGCCCTAATACAGTGACGTACAAGGTAGTCAAAAGTAGAAAGCGCCACCTGCTGTTAAAAAAAGAGTATTGCCATTTATTTTTAATCTCACCCATTTTAATCTTCACACATTTGTATTGCGATTTAACTGTCTCACGATATATCGTTGCATTCCTAGTAAAGCATGTAATGTTTACCCTGTTGCCATGTTAACATGACATTGTGTCATGAATTCAAGTGTGGGACAAGTAGCAGTTCTAAAGTAGAAGCTCCGGTTTGTGTGGATTATCTGCCTCTGTTGTTTTAGTCCTGTGAGCTGCTGTAACCGTCTCACCTCACAAGATTTTACCAGCCAGGCAGGGAAACTGTTGTGGCAACCTTCTTGTTATCAACTTGTCTGTTTAACCATTGAACTCCCACCACTGTGTAGAAAGGATCCCAGCACAGTATCATTTACTGTTCCAAATAAAACACTGTATGTAAGGCTTCATTAGGAAAAAGTTCTAATTCTTTAAATTGTACTGAAGCAGTATGTTCTGCTCATTGTGTTTTTAATGCAACATGACAAAAATACTTTTTATTAAGGTTTTATAAAGTAGTCAACCACACTCCCCTGATACAGCGAGGCATTCATATGTGTTTGTAACTGCAGTGCTAACTTTGTGTTTTCTCTCTTTCTCTCTGTAGTTTGTGGTGTTTACGTTCTGGACTCTCTACCTGTACGACAGAGACCTGGTCTACCCCAGACTACTGGACAACTTCATCCCTCAGTGGCTCAACCACGGCATGGTGAGTCTTATGTTCTCTAACGATACTGTTTTTAATAATTGGTCAGTGAACGTGAAATAGCTGACTGAAGATGGTTACAACAGAGACTTTGCCTTTTGGCGTTACTACTTAATTGACTCATTATAATTGGGTCAGTTACACTGCTTCAGGCTCAGCTCACTCTCTACCACTGTAATCCAGTGCAATGCAAAATACACTGCACTAGTGTGTTCTTAGGGACCAGAGCTCTAGATTAACCAGTTGCCAATGTAAGCTGCAACCAATGAGCTGAAAGAAAGAATTTGATAGCAAAATATAATAATTAAGTTTAATTTAACCGCCTCATGGAGATTAAAATCTCTTTTTACATGAACGTCCAAACCAAGATTCAGACAGCACATGTAACATTTAATAATGAAATAGACATAATACATTATAAAATAATAACAGCAGTCAATATGTCATTACAAAGATAATTAAAACAGTTACTTGCATCAAAAACCCTTAGATTAACAAACTGGGACTACATCAGACACAGTGGAGAGATTTTACCCAGTTTTGCAAAACCATACCTGCTCCAAACCTTTAAAGCTCAGTACAACAACTGAGTTTGACATTATGAGCAATTATTTCTAAATGAATGAAGTGAAACGAGTGCTTTATGCTTTACGCGTTAACGTCCTATCACTGAGTAGGAAAAAAACATTCCTGTCAGCCTCCGTGATTCCGAGTTGGAGAAATCAGGAATTTCTGACACTGACGATGCGAAAGGAACTGCAGGGATGTCAATAAACAGGACTGCTGCAAATGCACCACCAGGCAATTACGTCAAAATGAAATCAGACATTACAGTCTATTTTGTTTGTTTGGAGCTAGTTTCACTTTCATGAAATTGAACAAATACAGTAATTATAATTTGAAAAAACTCAAAAAGATCTCGTATCTCCTCCTCTGATCTGGGTTTGCTTCAGGACGCTCACGGGGAGCTGGAGCTGGCTAGCCTGCTGTGGGATAAGTGGTACTAAATGGATTGATTGATGGATATTGGAATTCTACAGGACAGGATATGTAAAATAAGTCTTACTTGAATCATTACTCATATTAGTGTACCATAAACTCCATAAAGTACTTGATAAATCATTTCAGTGGTCAAAGCTGGTGCTGGTGAACCTCTGAATTTGAATAGAGTCAGCGGCGGGTCGCTGGCTTTGATTTGCCATCTAGAGGAAATGGTTTTAATCTAATGTTTAGACAGCGACTAACACGCTGCACACATGTCAACTGACTGATAACACCGTCAGCCGCGTGTGTGTTTAAATCAGTCTGTGAGATAATCAGAAAATGTTCCAGCACTTCATTTGGAATATGCAAAACCTCCTCATGAAGCTTTTCTTCCGCCACACGCCGTCCGCAGAGTGCGAGGTGAGGTGGCGTGCGTTTAAAAAAAAAAAGATCATTCCCATAACACTGCTCGAAGTGAAAGAGACTAAGACAGCGTGTCTCTGTTTGTGTCTCGTCCCGTACTCTCCAGAAGGTGATGTAATAGCTGAGTGGTTGCTATGGCGGCGTCGCCAAGGAACAAAACAACCAGAACACCACCAACGGCTGTGTGTGTGTGTGTGTGTGTGTGTGTGTGTGTGTGTGTGTGTGTGTGTGTGTGTGTGTGTGTGTGTGTGTGTGTGTGTGTGTGTGTGTGTGTGTGTGTGTGTGTGTGGCGAGAGGGAAACAGAAAACGTGAGGAAGTTTGTGCACGCGTGTGTCTTTTTGAAACAGTGTGTGTGTGTGTGCGTGTGTGTGTGTGTGCGCGTGTGTGCGTGTGTGTGAGTCCAGTCTTGTTGTAAATATTTTGCGGTATTCCATGGTATCGCTGTTGTTTGTCTCTACTGGCTGCCACGGCAACCGTGTCACCATTCCCATCGGAGGAGGGAGGGGTCGAGTGATGAAGGGCCAGGGAGAGAAAAAGATGTAGTGTTTTAATAAATCTGTTCAACAGTCACGCCAATAAAGTAATTGAAAGTGAGCGAGTGGTTTTATGGACTTTGCAGACTGATTTATTATTATCTACAATACCGATACTTAAGCTCTTTATTTAATTACCACACACAAATAGAAGTGTAGAACTGTAGTCATTGGCTTAAAGTTGGCAATATTTTGCCCTGTGTGTGCTTGGATGGACAGGCCATGGCAGAGAGCTTAACATCTTACTGCGAGACTTCGGAAATGATATTGGACAACAAGTTCAACTGTGATTACAAATCTGAAAGACGGAGTTAGACCGAACATATATTGTAAAAGTGAATTAATATAGTGGCAAAGAAACTGGATAAAAACAATGATAGATGTCCTTCATGTCAGGGAGATACAGTTGCCACCAGTGTAAGGTAACCATTAAAGCACAAAGAGTTAAATATACAACAGTCAGTGTTAGTTTAACTGTAAATCAGTAGCTACCAGGAATGTTGTATTAGCAACACGTTAGCCTCAGACAGCTACTGCGATGGCTCGCTTGGTTATCAGCAAGATGATCTCAGAAAAACGAAAGAAATCAACGAAACCTGCAGATAATGTTCCTCCACGGTTGTTTGGGGAGTAGATAAAGTTACTAGTTACTTGGTATAGTATGATGTAACAGTGTCAGTTTCCATGGAACAAACAGGATAGGGCATGACTGAATACATTTGTTATGGCCAAAAATCATCTTTTTACATATTTGGCAATTCCTGTAACAACATTCACATTTTACATTATTAAACAATATATAATATCCCAAGACGTATGTAGATATAAAAGGCTCAATCCAGGTAACGAAACACAACGGTTCCTATATTCAGGTTGTTATACATTAATAAAAACATACCTATGAAGATTAGATTCCATTTCTGACTATAGATCCTCCTAAATGTGACACACTGGACCTTTTAAAGCTAAAGCCCTTTTAACTAAGGGAAAAAAAAACAGGTCTGCTGACATCATGTTGCTTTCTCCAATAAATAATGTGATTCAGGGGGTGGGGTCCCCTTCTGTTCAGTGTTGGTTACTAAGAGAACAACACTAATCAAAACAAGACCTGGACTGTAACCTGTTCTTTTTTTGTTTTGTTACAACCCTCAGAGAGGATCACTGTCTGTGAATGTAATCCAAAACAGTGTCCAACCAAGTATAGCAAAACCAGGATGTGCTTGTGTGTGTGTGTGTGTGTGTGTGTGTGTGTGTGTGTGTGTGTGTGTGTGTGTGTGTGTGTGTGTGTGTGTGTGTGTGTGTGTGTGTATGTGTGTGTGTGTGTGTGCGCGCGTGTATATGTGTGTGTGTTTGCGCGCGTGTATGTATGTGTGTGTGTGTGCGCGCGTGTATGTATGTGTGTGTGTGTGTGTGTGTGTGTGTATGTGTTATCCGTAACTCTTGCAGTTCCAGTTCATAAAGGCAAACCCACCCAGACACTCACAGTCAGGTTTCTCCACGCAACAAAGGATTATAGTCTCACACTGAGTCTGACGCCATTGACCTGTGACACACACACACGCACGCACGCACGCACGCACGCACGCACGCACGCACGCACGCACGCACGCACGCACACACACACACACACAGACAGTGCACTCACACTCTTTCTCTCTGTGGTCTTGTTATGAAAGTCCTTCTGGCCGAGGATCAGCTGTTTGTTAACATCTGGTGAATCATTGTCGGGTTTGGGTCCACACACACACACACACACACACACACACACACACACACACACACACACACACAGACACACACACAGACACACACACACACTCGGATCGGCACTTAGCCTTCATCACTTGTATTCTCTCCTCTTGCATTATTATCGCTGTGTGCGTGTATGTGTGTTTGCGTCTGATTCATTTGTTGATGTGACAGCTCGCATTATTTTTACCTTTCAGACATTTAGTGACTCATACAAATTGATGCAACAGTATAATTATCATTAATCTTCCAAACAACCAATAGTAAATAAATACAATCCCCATGGTGCTTTCTAATGTTTAACCGTCAACTGTTGTTGTGGAAGTTTTCATGATAACTGCAGGAACTCATTTCCAGCAGTCGAGCCTGACAGACAATATTAAGGACAAGAACATTTTACATGCACTCTAGTAAAGCGATTCTCAACCTTTTTTGGAGTCCAGGACCCCCCAAATCATTAGTGTATAATAACCCAAAAATAAGAATTCTTGTGTTTTTCTTACCTTAGATATCTACAGAGGGAACGGGTCCTGTTCTAAGAAGTCTGCCATTGTTTCTACAGTAGCCCAGAACGGACAAACCAAACAGTGTCTCTAGATAGGGCCTGTCACAATATTAAGGGGTTATTCATCGGTTGTGATCTCGCAACCTCACTGCTAAATGCCACTAAATCGTACACACTGGTTCCTTTTTAAAGTGCAGATTTCTTTCAAAACATTACAGTGCTGAAAAAAAGACAATTTGTAAAAGAAACAATATCAATACTTTTGGATTAAAGAGATCAGATAATAATTATATTATAATATTGGAACTCTCTCTTTGCTGAATGCTGACATTAAATGGCTTTAGTGGTGCTGTAGGGATTGGCCGGTTCAAATTCAGACACAATTTCACAGAGTGTGTTTTTGATAGAAAGTAGAGCAGGATTGTCCCTTGGTGACATGATAAGCTCCTTAAGTTAGAAAACTGTTGAGAAAAATGTCAACAGGAGACTTTTCATTTGGTTTTCAGGGTTCAAGCGGAGTTCAGCATGAAAACCTTTATCTGTGCAGGGACTCGGGATTGAGCCACAAGCTCTGCATCAGCTGCTGCACTTTGACCTGTTAAACTCTGAAGCACCCACCACTGGATTCGTTTTTATAATCTTGTGTTATGAGGCCAAACATTTTTTCAGAACCCACAGAAGTTTATTTTATATTTCTCCGAGGATACAGAAGTTTCCAAAGATACCAAATCTGATTTAATAGAATATTCCCATTGGATGTCATTGTGCAGCTATAAAAATAAGGTGTAATTGGGCTTTAATATCACTTAGCGAGTAGATACAGAGATTGTTATACATCTGGACAAAAGTTTTTTTCTAAATGTGAATTAACTTTAGAGTGAATTTAGGGGGGAAATTAAGCTGGACACTCACACACGACACTAGCGATTATTTTCTCCATCAGTTAATCTGTTGGTCAATTTTTTCGATTAATAGTTATGTTTATGTAATGCCAGAAAATAGTGAAAAATGCATAACATCATCCCTGGATCATAGGAGACGTCATCAGATGTCTTATTTGGTCCAAAGATATTCAGTTTACAATAATATAAAACAAAGAAAAGCAGCAAATAAGCTCATTGGAGAAGGTAGGCGTTCACATTGTTTTACACAGCCAAACATCGAAAAGGAGCATATCACCAATTTCAGAGTGTCTGAAGACTTCTTCCTTCAGACTTATCTCAGAGCTCATCAGGAACTCCAACCCTCTCAGTTATATACTTCAGTCTCTCCTTGATTTCTTTGTTAATTCAAGAAGTATTGACAGAAACCCTCGGGATAAGTGGGAATTTATTACATGAGATGAACCATTTTGAACTCTTACAAACTCCTCTTTGTCTTGGTTTGCACCACCCAGGGTGAATTTGCATCTCTTAGCACCCTTTGCATTGACTTTACTTGCAGTATGCCCTAAACTCCAACTCGCTTCCTGTTCAGTCTGAACATACCTTTGGAGTTGGTTTTGTATGTTGGTTTTTATAGTTGAGGAGGTTAACATAGCTCAGTACTTTCCAACAGCAGCACCTTTTTTGCTGTCTTTATATTTATTACTCTATATAATAGCACCTAACATAAAGAGACAAAGTCCTGCCTCCGAGCTAGCCTATATAACTGTATTTTCTTTTGGAAAAAACAGAAACATATTTCTGGGTTTATCGTCTCAGTATCTAGAGCTCAGCAGCAGAGTAAAATCTGAGCATCTCATCATTTTAACCAATATAAAACTCAGATTATAACAGCAAATCCCATGAGCCTTAGCCACAGGAACAAGCCCTGACAAAACCCCATTTTACCTCAGTCAGCTGTTTCTATTGGTTCCCATAGCTGCAAAGTTATCACCTTTTTAGCGAAATTTGCCTCCTGCCACCTTTTTCATCCCATTGGAGTTTGCAGACCCGTGTCCTTGTTCTACGGTTCAACTTTAATGCCATGCTCAAAAGCAAAACAACCGCATGTAATGATGCAGAGGACAATGTTTCCCCAGGTATTTTATTCCGTTTGATTTTTGTGTACAACCCGCAGCTTTCAGATCACGTCCTCTACATCTATTTCTAATGTTTGACCCCGTGGACCTGCCCTCAGACATGTGACCCCACCCACCCCCAGCTGTGAAACCCTGCGTGAAATAGATTGTCCCGGTTTTAGCCCCAGACCACAGGATCGAACCACCGCTGTTTGCCAAAGTGGGGGGATTTTCCACCGAGGCAGAAAGCTGGCTGCTCGAGCGAAACCGCAAACCTCGGGGGTGAGACAGACAGAGAGAGACAGAGAGAGAGAGAGAGAGAAGAGAGAGAGGACAACAAAGAGAGAGTCCTAGAAACAAAAATAGAGAGAGAGGGACAGCAAGAATAAAGGGAGTATTATTTACGAGCGGCGAGTCCTCTCAACAGAGACTAAACTTAAACACGACCAAGAGACTGGAATTCCACTGAGGCACCCTGGGTAAAAGTGCAGCGTCAGGGTGTGTGTGTGTGTGTGTGTGTGTGTGTGTGTGTGTGTGTGTGTGTGTGTGTGTGTGTGTGTGTGTGTGTGTGTGTGTGTGTGTGTGTGTGTGTGTGTGTGTGTGTGTGTGTGTGTGTGTGTGCGTGCGTGTGTGTGCGTGCGTGCGTGTACAGTATAATGATGGGAGAGAAACCTAGAATTTAAGACCCCAGGAGAGAGCGAGAGAGAGAGAGAGAGAACTATTCTGTCCTCCTTGGAGATGTTGTTACTCTTGTTAGTTTGCACATACTTGGCATCTTCAGTCTGACCTTTTCAAATCCTCAGAGGGAAGCCGGAGAAGCTGATTGGTCAAAGTAAGTACAGTACAGTACTGTACAGTGTACAAAGCACTCTGCTGTATCAAGTAGACAAAAGGTTCTTTCCTGTTAAATCCACCTTGAATATCTGAGAATTGGGAAACTGAATGTCTTAAAACTTGGTGACTGGGATGCCACAACAAACATTAGGTGATGCATATTGTTTAGCTATGAAACACATACATGACATTAACAATGAAACACTTTTTACTTTACTTTTCAGCCTCAAATACCCAAATTTCCCCACAATTTATAGAGGAGGTGCTCTCTGGAAATGATCACAATTTATAAACTATAATATTAAATAAAGGTCCAGTGTGTGATATTTAGGTGTATAATCACCTGGAAATAAGAATTGTTGTGTTTTTGTTACCTTAGAATGAGCCTTTATATCTACAGATGCCGCAGGTCACCTTCCATGCAGTCCGCCATGTTGAACTGCCATGTTTCTACAGTAGCCCAGAAGGAACAAACCAGAACCAAACATTTACGCGCTGCAACCCGAGTAGCTGCTGTTCTAAGCCTTCTGTCCTCAATGCCTCCTAAAATGGATTTATAGTTGTGCATTGATGGGTTATGCATGTATAGCTGCCACAGCTGACCTCATAAATGTAACATTGAGGCTACAGAGGCACCTCGTGTGATTGGCTGCTTGTGATACCTCCTTCAGCTCCATGTCGTTGGTGGAGATTGTTCATAGTGACGACAACATAATAGATTCAGTGATCGTCTCCTTCCTAATCAAAGTGAACCTTCCCATCATCATTCTGTATCACAGAGTGAATGAAACGATGTTAAATCACAATATGACCTGATGAAGAACCGTAGAGCTGTGTACTGTTGCAGAGGTGATTCAACGGGGACAAATCTGTTTTAGGGTTACTGTATAAATCAGACCTTATGCTGTTTGTATTTATACAGCTAGTATTAATGCCTTGTATAAATAAACACAGTATAAATTCAGCTTTAAAGAATTTCTTAAAATGGATCATGAACTAAGGTTTTCGTGACCTTAGGAAATGAAAATGCCCAAACATTACTGACTGAGGAATCTGGGTTTCTGGGGGCTTCCTAGTAAAAACTAGACCTTAGTAGACTATTTCAAATCTGAAGGAGAGGTTGTTTTTTTTTTTTGCCACAGAGAATCAGTTGCGATTGAAACCCAACCTGTCTTAACACTGCAGCAGCGTTTACACCTTCTGCAGCCCAGCAGCATCAAACCAAACACTTTTCCATCATTTCTAACCATCAGTCTGGGAATAATTAACAGATGGAAGAATCCCAGTTGTTGTTTTTCTCATCTCAGCATAACGAGGCCAACCGGCCTGACTGCTGGAGACAAAAGAGCTCAGCAGTCTGACTTCGCCCAGGGTGACACACACACACACACACACACACACACACACACACACACACACACACACACACACACACACACACACAACGGACACACACACACACACACACACACACACACACGCACACACACACACGCACACAGACGGACACACACACACACACACACACACACACACACACACACACACACACACACACACACACACACACACACACACACACACACACACACACACACACACACACACACACACACACACATACTGATCTACAGCTGTGCTCCTGAGAGTGCAAATGAGGTAAGAGGTCTCAACTCTGCTGAGACAATTACGCCTGTTGTACGGTGTGTGTGTGTGTGTGTGTGTGTGTGTGTGTGTGTTTTCATTCTGTACGTGAGTGCCCCCTAGTGGACGAAGAGTGCAGTTCACGTGACAGCAGACTAGCTGAGTATACATTAGCAACACCACAGCTTGAGGATATTGATTTATTGATGCCATGACCTCCATTACATGTGTTTGTGTGTTTAGATGGATTACACAGGTATCCACACACACACACACACACACACACACACACACACATTGTATGTAGGTGAATTCATTATTAAAAGAGAACAAACTGAGATGCAGTATTGGGGTTAAATGCCAAAGTAATCACATTTTTTTGTACTTCTTTTTTGTTTATTTATCTGCCATATTATTATATAACAGGACAGATATGAGACATTCCAGCACAGATATTTGCTTTTAATGAAACAGTACTCCTGTGGGCCACTAGATGGTTATAAAAAAATCTTGGGCTCCTTAGAGATCGATTAAAAAAAACAACAATTTTTTCACCACAAGATATTACAGTGTTTAGCCGGTTTCTCTTCTTTTAATGTGCGTCTTGGTGGCTGTAGACATTTTTGTTAAAAACATACAAAGGCTTAAAAAGAGGTACATTTCTGCAAGTATTCAGATAATGTACTTAAAGTAAAAGTACTAATACCATTCTGTGAAAATACTCCACTACAAGTAAAAGTCCTGCATTCAAAACTTAAATCTCTATTTTTCGTGAGCGCAGACAAACAGCCCTGTTGATCCAACTAAACCAGGAGGGAACACTTCATCCTTCACTTTATCACAAACATTCACATTCAAAATCACCAAATGATGGAGATACGTGGTTTTCACTGGACAGGAATGGTAGGAAAAAAATTTAATTATATATTCTATATGTAATAATTGTAATCTGAGTAGAAGCTGTCAAAATAGTTTCTAGTAGTAAATCTAAAATCCAGATTATTTTTATTTTTATTTTTGTGAACTATTGTCTGTTTTATATTTTTAAAATTTGTAGCCCCACCAAACACAAAATGTAACATTCATTCCCCCATCTCTTTCCCTTTGTCTCTGTTCATCTCTCTCAGCACACCACCGTTCTTCCGTTCATCATCATCGAGATGCGGACCACCCACCATCGGTATCCCAGCAGGTCGTGGGGTCTGGCGGCAGTGTGTTGCTTTGGCGTGGGATACATCCTCTGGTACATAATCTTTGCTCTTTCCAACACTCAATAAACACACGTCCAGTTTATATATAGGATAATTAAAGAGTGGTTAACGTTGGCTAGATTAGGCCTAGTTTAGTTTGTGTTTAGAATCTTTAAAAGGCTGATAAAGTTCAGTTAGGCTAATTCAGACCAGCTTTTATTGTAGTATAATTTCATTTCAGCCTTGGTTAATTGAGTGTATGTGATGTTTTATCTCAGTTTAGTTCGGTTTTGGTTTAGTTTAAGTTTGAGGTCCTGCTTATTTTTATTTCTTTGCTAGTTTAGACTTAATTTAGTTGAAGTCTGTTTAAAATTATTTCTGTCCTGTTGAGTTTAACATAAAGTTAAAGAGTAAAAAAGTTTATTCTTTACAACTAACTGTTGTCCCTTAAGGTTGTCAAGATACCAGAATTTTAAACTTTGGAACAATACCAGTATTAAAAAAAAGTATAAAAAAAGATACTCTATACCTCTTTTGATCAACTGAAAAAAAGAGATCTTTTTTGCGTAGCTTTGGTTCTTTCAATGCTATTGAACGTATAATTAACAGAGATCGTATCGTTTTAAACACGTGGTATCGGAAAAGTATTGAAGTATCAATACTTTTGACAACCTCAGTCATCCCAAATAAAACATGTCCAGAATGTGCTTTACATTAACTAAAACTCTCTGCCCACTCAGGACGTGTTGGGTGCACCAGGTGACAGGCGTGTGGGTGTACCCGGTGCTGGAGCGCATCACTCCGCTGGCTCGAGTCATCTTTTTCAGCGCAATGACCGCGGTGATTTGTGTTTTCTACACGCTCGGAGAAATCCTCAACAGCTACATCTGGGACCAGCCGCACACAGGTACGCAACGCACACTGTGTTCATCCGTCCAATGTAACAGCACAGGTTAGAAGGTCGATAATGTTGATTATTTTTAACTTGGATCTTACTTTTTTAGACTGTTAGCACTATGTTTTTACAATCTCTACAGTATGTCTCTCCAAATCATATATGTAGATGGCTAAAGCTCATTGAAAAGCTGTTAATCTTTTTTTTTTGGATTGTAAAAAATAAAATAAAAAACATGCAGTTAAAGTGATTCTATGGCCAGCGTTTGACTAAAATCAGTCTGCAAGTAAAGATTTGAAAGCATGCAGGAACCGATTTGTATGAGCAGAATAAAGAGAGGAAATATGTTGATTTGAGTGATAAATATATACTTCTTTATTTGTATTTCTAAATGAAATCGGTGTGGTCGAATGTCTTCAGATAAAATACTTAACTCTGATAAAGATATGATATCCTAAAGGTGTTGTCCACTCTCATTCTTAATAGCTCAGAAACGGCCATAATGTGTGGGCAGACTTCAAACAGACGTGCTCAAAGTCAGGATTTGTGCTAAACACATTGTTCTTCCGAATGTCTGAAGTCACATGTTAACTTTCAGACCAAAGGAACCTCTTTTGCTCTCACTCTAAAGTTTGGCTGTTAATAAACGATTCTTAAACTTGTCGGTCAGTCCGAGAAGTGATAAAAAGCAAGAAAGAGACGAGCAGAAACAGACGAAGCATCTGCCGACCAGCCGCCTCCCTCTTTCCCAGTCACACACACTCCCCCATCCATCTGCTCAGCAGGTCGGCAGGTATCACTCCACCCACACCAGAGAGAGAAAATCTGCGTGTGACTTTCTAGACATGAAGTCTGCAGCCTTCGTCTCTAGTTACACTTAAAATACCTCCCACGCACACACATGCACGCACACACGCAGCTTTACAGTCTGCTGACTTTACAAAGTTCATTCTCCTTTCTTTTTTTTCTTTGTCTTTTCCTTTCAGTAAAGGTCAAAGGTGAGTAATCTTCTCTCGGCGGTGCGGGCGCGGATATCGGCCTCAGTCGGACAGAAGAGGACGAGTCGTTCCCCCGCCCACCCGGGTCAGCACAAGAACAGAAAACAACCGACCTCACCGGGAGTGGAAAAGACCATTACCTTTGAACTGTACCCATAACAATAACATACACGACAGAAAATCAGTTAAATGTGAATAGAGAAAAAAGGTGGCGAATGAAGGTAAAACTTAAAACTCATCTTTTTTTGTTTTCTGATTTTTCACGAGCAACCGTGTTGCATCTGGCTTTTGTTATGTGGACTAAACGCACAAACATACATCTACACAACGTAAAACACTTAACACTGCACACATACACACACACACACACACACGCACACAGGAACAGAAACAGTCTCAGTATTATGCTTTTCCGGTATAAACTATGTCTCAAAGTGAATTAATTCCTACATACCTTACTGCGCAACTACTGAACATCATGTGTTAAACATCATTATTCATCTTGAGTCACACTACATGTATGGAAGAAACTTGATGTTGGTATAAAATCAATAAAGTTTGACTTGAAAATATTTTCTGTCCGTCCGTCCAGACGTTTCACCCCCCCCAAAAAAAACAAAACACAGCCACATAGCGAAAATGACCCAAATATAGCAATGAATTATGGTCCACACGTGGTCCAGATCTGGTAGCCACATATGGCTCATGACATAGACGTATATCCGCCAACTGTATGACCATAACTGACCCTGGGTTGGACCAGAGAAGTTTAAACACCGGTTCCAGATGTCTGCTTAAACTAAACCTTAATCAAGCCACTTCCTTGATCCACCCGTATCCCTCTCCTCCTGTCAGCACTGCATGTGTAGTAATGTGTAGATAAACAGATGAGAAAATTCAGCCCAGTACACTTGTGAACCATTGCCAAAAACAACAACAACAACAAAAAAGAGAAAACAGAGCTGAAACTTTTGGCTGTCATGGGCTACCAGATCTGGACCGTAAATCATTGCTGTATTTGGGCTGAGTGTGAGGGGTCTGTGCGGACCGTTACTGGGCCAGACCAATTTAGAGGATCCTACCTGAAGCGGGGCCTTATCGGCTCCGTGTCAGCTCTGCCCCCAGCATATGTGTGAAATTTTAATTGGACACGGCGGGCCCCCACAGGACCTGCTAGAGCGTCTCTGGTAAGACGAGCAACACGCCACATCTTCACGGGTTTGACACAGGTTGCAAGTTGTTGCTGCTGCCTCATTAGTTTTGATGAAACAAGTGCGAACAAGCGATTCTCAACATTTGTACGAAAGCATCACGCGACGCTCACATGAGATCACAGTCTGACATAAAAATACCAGAGCTGAAAATGATTCAACTTCCAAAAGACTGTTGACTGACTTTCACCAGTCAGCAGAGGTTTTACTGACGGACCAATCAATTAGCTGTTTCATGTTAAAGTGAATGACAGTTTCGTCATTAGATCATAAACATATGTGATGAAGACTGAGCGTGATTCTTGCAATGTTTGAGTTGTACCCACATGGTTGAACGCACTTATTGTAAGTCACATTGGATAAAAGCATCAGCTAGATTGGAAAGTGATGGATGAGTTGAAAAAGTCAAATCAGCAAACAACGGATCAGATAACTGTTGGAGAGATGGAAAGGAAGACAGCCAGGCATGCCGTTTGGAAAGATGGAAATAAAAGAGGAAGGAAAATGGGAAAAAATGCGTAGCAGAAAATGTATATGAATCATTAAATCAATAAAAATAGAAATAAATTGCAATAAAATGATACCAAAAGCCACTAAAAGAAGGACAGGAGGAGGAATAAAGAATGTAGAAAGATAAAAAGGTAGGATAAAAGGGCTGAAGGAAGGCAAGAAGCAGAAAGTAACATAACAATATGAAAGAAATATGGAGGAAAGAAAGGGAAGGCATGTATTGACAGATACACAGGTGAGTGTCCCTACTGGAAAAACCGACAGCATTCGTTGTTCGTTCAAACGCTTGAAAAGAGAATCGATTTTCTGAGCAGCGGCTGTTGCGATTATGATGGTTGGAGGTATAAAGTGTGTGACTTCAGCACCCCAGGATGTAGTTTGCTTCCAGCAGGCGACATCAATTTGTTGTAACCACAAAGGAGGTTTTCCTCAGCGTTAACTAACTAGCTTTAGTTGCGTCAACTCAATCAGACCTTCACCAAAGTCAAAGTCAATTTTATTTGATTCAAACAGCCCAGTATTACAAAGAGAAAATGTGCCTCCAAGGGCTTCACAAGCTGTTCCTTTTATTAGTGATGGATTGTTCGGGAACGTATGTATGAGCCGGCTCCCGTCTGAGAGACGATTTCTTTGCTGATCCTATAACATGTTTGTTAAAAACAATGCAGAAATATTTTGGTAATAAGACCCAAGGACGTTGTGCCGGTCGCCAACATACAAAACATTGTTCAATATAAATAAAATGTTCAAAATAGAATTAAGGCATTCTAGAAATGATTGGTTTAGTATAGATACATCAAATCATCCAAATGATATATGTGCATACGTACCAATCGTAGGTCAAAACATTGATAAATGTGGCTGAATTATGAATTATGATATAAAAGCCAAATGATCCAGCTCACTAAAAAGAGCTGGAATTCCCATCCTCTATCATTGGATCCTAGAGTCAGATAGGGAAAACCTCCCCCAAAAAATGGGAGAAACTTCAGGAGGGATCCCTCTCCTAGGACGGACAGACATGTGATAGATGTGTGTACAGAATAGACCGACAATTACAGTACAGACAATCTGTATGACAAAATGAAAGATTTTAAACATACGATCAAAGTGACAGATCAGGAAAAGTTCACTTAGGTCGTTTTGATGACAAACAACATATTTTGTCTTTCAAATAGAAGGAGTTTGAAACACTGGGACTGCGTGCAGACAGACAGACGGACAGACGGAGGCAGGCCGACAGCGAAGAGACAGAAACAGACAGTGTTATTATCAGAGTCTGTTCTAAAGATATTCTGTGTCACTGACTCAAGACTGAGGCTGCACTTCAGAGCGTTGATGAGTGTGTGTTTCAGTGACGTTGGGAAGTTGCAAATCACAATGTGAGACTGAGTTAATGTTTGGCCTCAGTGTCATGACTGGATGCATTCATGCGCTCGCTGGGTCTTTTAAAATGTAACCAGTCCTCCTATAACTGCTTTACCAGCTCTCTATCACCAACCAAACCCCTAATACACTCAACATCATACATTCACCGCTTCCTCCGGTGAAACCCTGTTAGCAGGCGTCTTCTGGCCAGATAAAATGGAATAAATTTAGAGGCCTGTGTTGTCCAGGTGTAAAGGCTCAGAGGATTGACCGGATTTCACTCTAGAAAGAAAGAAAGAAAGAAAGAAAGAAAGAAAGAAAGAAAGAAAGAAGCTGATGCAGTCCGTCTCCCAACAAAACAGGAACTGATGGAAGAAAAAGATAACTGAAAAGAGACAAACAAAAGCAAATAATAGAGGCAAAGAAAGAAACAGCTGACAGGAGGTAAAACTAAAGCGGTGGATTTCTCAAGGTGGAGAGGATGTAACAAGGAAAAGAGACGGCTGAAAGAAAGGGAGCGTAAAAAAAAAAAAAATAAAGCAACTTGATGGGCTGCCAGAAGCACGACAAAGCAGTAAAACAACAGCAGAGACAGAAAGTGAGGCGCTAGCGAGCGATTGCATTCCTCCCCCCGCGCAGAGCAGGAGGGCGGAGCAACAATGAGACTATTTCAGTTGGTTTCATTTTCTTTGTCTGTAGACTTTAAAGGTTAAACCACAAAACACAACATCCCACCGCTTCCTGTCAACACAAACTCCCCCCATCTGCTTCCTCCTTAAACAAAACCTCCTCCTCCTCCTCCTCCTCCTCTTCCTCTCCTCCTCCTCTTCCTCTTCTCCTCCTCCTCCTCTTCCTCTCCTCCTCCTCCTCCTCCTCCTCCTCAGGTCATTTGGTAGTGAAATAATAAAATATAAACGTAATTTTCTCTGGCAGTGTTGTTCTTTCACCTTTACACAATATGACATCTCATATTACACTTTTGTGTGTGTGTGTGTGTGTGTGTGTGTGTGTGTGTGTGTGTGACTCCTCTTGCTGTCAGTTTGGGAAGGAGAGTTTGACACAACACACTCTGTTCATTAGCGCTTAACAGCTAACTCTGCACTGCTGCGCACACGTGTGTGTGTGTGTGTCGTCTCTTCAGTAACACGTCAACTCCTCCACTCTGAGGTGACACATTAAAACATTCTGGAATATTCTGCTCTGCATTAATTAGCATACATTTACATACTAACGAGCAGAGAGGAGCTGGATGCCGGCACGTGATTCAGTCGGGGAAAAAAAAAACATTTTTATCTGTGATTTAATTCTGTTTAGAAAATGTGGGGCAGTAATAGTGTTCATGTGACATGTATGTGCTGGAAGAGGGTGGGCTTTGTGGGGAAACTGAGGCTGGAAGAAAGGAAGACAGGAGGGGAGAAAGATAATGAACTACTGATGTAAGAAAGGAAAAAGAGGAAAGAGGGAAGGAAATACGATGAGAAAGGAAGGAAAGAAGGAAGGAAGGAGCGATGTGTGAAGAAAAATCATGACGGGCCATTGAAAGATGGAGGGTCAAAAGGAAGTAGAAAAAGGGTTAAGAAAGTAAGAAACATGATTTGCCACTGAAGGAAAGAAGCTGAGGAAGAAAACCGAAAGGAAGGAAAACAGGGAGGAAGAACAAAACAAGAAAGAAAGGAGTTGGGGTGTAAAGGAAAAATGGAAATAAGGGAATAGGATAGGAAAGAAGATAAAGGAGTTAAGCAGAAATAAAATGGAAAGAGGATGAAAGATGGAAAGAGGAAGGAAAAAAGGAAGTAGAAAATAGGTGAAAGAAAATTATATAAATCATTAAAGAAATTAAATACAAATAAAAGTATAAAATGTAAGGAAGGGAGGAATCAAAGAGGGAAAAGTAAAGAGGAAAGGAGGAGGAAGAAAGGAAAACATGAAGAAGGAGGAAGGAAGTTGTAAAATAATAAAATGAAGGAAATAAGGAGGAAGGAAAGGCAAACGTGATGAACAAATGAAGGAAGCAAAGAAGCAGGACGGAAGCAGGGGAGGAAGGAAGCAGGGGAGGACGGAAGGAAGCAGGGGAGGAAGGAAGCAGGGGAGGACGGACGGAAGCAGGGGAGGAAGGAAGCAGGGGAGGACGGACGGAAGCAGGGGAGGACGGAAGTTGTCAGCCACTAAAAGAAGAAAGGAAGAGAGGAAGGAAGTAAAAAACAGAGTGTAAAAGACAAACGAAATGTTCTCCTTCGCTTTGTTGAGCTCAGCAGGAGAAAAGAAATACAGCAGGACACCTGAAACACCCACACACACACTCATTCTTGCAAGCATCTACACACACACACTCGAGCAGGGTTTTTTTTTAACTCCTGCAGCTGCAGCGAACGCACACACACACACACACACACCGACACGCCTCAGTATGTGTGTCTGAGAGGAAGTGAAACGACAGAAAGTCTGAAGTGTGTCACTGTGTGTGTTATATGAGCAGTTGTGAAGGTCACTCCTGCTGAGCGCTGCTAGATACACACACACACACACACACACACACACACACACTTCCTCACTGTTTCTCACACGGTCTCGTTCTCTGAGAAATAGCGCAGGAAGTGGTGTGTTTTACATTTACAGTTTTAGAACAAAGGGAACTGGGTGGTTATGAACAGTAACACCAACATGGCCTGCAGACACACAACAACAAACGCCCAGAGAAAAATCCAACGACGCAAAATTGAATTAAATTCTGTTTTCTCTTTGCTAAATATGTGGACTGTCTAATGTTGATCATTCTCATATTTCTGTTTTCATTCCACGTGCTTCTCCGTGAGCGGATAAAACGTCAGATTAGTTCAAGAAAAGTTGATGTTCTGGATGTTTTAGATGTTTAAGGTTTGTCTGTTGAAAGTTGCTTAATGGGGAGTTAGCTGGTTTACGGCGCCCCCTGCTGGCAGAATGACTGAAAAGCAGCTAATATTCAAAGAATGTATGAAACACACAAAACATTATTTACAATGTCATTTATTCAATAAACGAATCACAATAAAAACGTAAATACAAGCAATATAAAAATTCAATAAACAGCTGGTTTGTTCGGGAAAGCTCAGTCCTTCCTTGTTTTGGGTTTGGGGGCTGAAACGGAGAGAGAGAGAGAGAGAGAGTGATGCTGTTAGAGAAAGGAAAAGACAAGAAAAAGAAGAGAAAACAGGAAGGAAGTTGGGAAGGCAATGAGCGGGAAGGAAGAACAGAACAAGAAAAGGAAGGAGTGAAGGGAAGTAGATGAGGGATGAAGGAATACGGGGGAAGGAAGAAAATAAGCAGAAACAAAGGGAAGATATTCTTCATAAATAGAAAGAAAAAAACAAAAGAGGAAGGAATTTAAGAGGGAAGTTGATACAACATGACACTGAGAGAAGGAAGAAGGAAGAAAGATGTTGTAAAATAAATAAACAATATGAACAGAAAAAGAAAACAAACAACAGTTTTAAGAAGTAATGTAAAGAAAGGGCAAGAAAGAAAGAATGGCAAAGAAGAAATTAATAAAGAGTTCCTGTGAAACAGCATAAAAACAAAAGTCTGAAAGGAGGAGAAAAGAAGAAACTAAAGAGGAGATGTAAGAAAAGATAAGACGAGGAGATGAGAATAGAGAAGATAAGAGAGGAGAAGAGAGGAGGAAAAGAAGAAGAGATAGATTCTGATCACCGTTTGGATTCTCCTGTTTGTAGAAAGTCTTCAGCATCTCTACAGCTTCTTCTGCTCTGTGCCCTGAAACACACTGCACACACACACACACACACACACACACACACACACACACACACACACACACACACACACTATAAGGACAAAAGTATGTGGACAGCCACATTTTATACACTGCTGCTGAAACAGCCTCCACTCTTTCAGGAAGGTTTTCTACCAGATTTAAGAATCAGGCTGCAGAGACTGAAAACACCCACAAACCTTTCCAAGGACAACACACACAATCACACACACACACACACACACACACACACACAAATACAATAAATTAGACAAACATAAAAAGACACCAGGGACAAACACAGACCTTGAACGTGCTCCCAGTCTGAGGTAAGCTTGCAGAGGAAACATCCAGGACTGAACCGCAGCCTCCAAACCGCTCGTTCCTGCAACCGTACACAACCACCGGGATATCTGCCAGCTGATGAAGGAACAACAGCTGTCGACACACACACACACACACACAGACCACACAAGAACACACACACAGGTTGGGGGGAGGATACTGAGGAGGCGCAGGGCTGCGGCACACATGATGCACGGCTCCACTGTGACGTACAGCGCCGTTCGCTCGCACACGCTGCTCACATCCAGGTTGCTGTGACGACACCAGGCCAGGAGCTGGTCCAGGGCCACCATCTCAGCGTGGCGAGTGGCCTAATACACACACACACACACACACACACACACACACACAAGAGACAGACACATGTTGTGCATAGCTTGGCTGTCACTTTCTCTTTGAGCTGGATGAACCTAATGCCATACTCCCTTTGAAATTCAAGGTTTTAAGAGTTGAAGTTTAGCTGTAATTAAATGTGCTACATAAATAAAATTGCCTTGCTCTAAATTGTAGTGGTTTGTTTTTACTGACTGAAAAAAAAAAAACCCAACACAAACTGACTAACTGACTTCTGCACGGGGCTCAGTCTCAAGGTTTCCCCAGACTGGATGCACATTCTTCATTTGTTCCTACATTTTTGGTCTCGTTGACTTCGTTCCGTCCTTTTCCAATGACTTGATTGCTGTAGACCATCAGACATCCAACCGGCACCTCTCCGTTCTCCAGAGCATCTTTGGCCTGCAGCCATCACATCCACAGCAGGTCAACACACAGCAACCGACACATGAACAGTGTGAACGCATTATAACACAATGATAATGTCACTGACGGTATCTTTATGTAGATTATAGCTGAAACCAGCAATTACTTCCATACCATCCATTAATCTGTTAATTAATTTACATTAACTGATAAATAAGTGACTGAAAAGACTGTTAACTGTTTGTTTTGCATTATAACCTTGTAACACTGCACATGTACAGGACCACATTCAACTTTATTGTCTCTATTTTATATTTCTTTTATTTGTTTTTAGTCTCTTTTCTGCTCCTTGCACGGAGCATGAATTTAAACTCTCACTTTATCTCCAAGAGTTGAGCTTCAACTAGTAACGTTAGATAACGTGGCACTCTTTAACAATCTATATCCTCTTAACGTGTAAAATAATAAACAATAACACAATGACCGACTGATTGATTACAATCAATAGCATTGATCACCCACCGTGTCAAACGCGTCGTCCATCCACTTCTCGATTTCCTCATCGCTCGGATGAAAACACTCCGCGGCTCTAAGGCCCTCGTCTGTTCCCATGGCAACCGTCAACACTGACCTCCGCTGAATAAGAAGTCATACGGCTGTTCGCATTATGTTGAGTGTTTGTGGCTCATGGCTTATTATTATTATTATTATTATTATTAGTCACGCGTTTTTCCCTCGTTGTAGTTTAACCCACGCCGGCAGGGGAAGATAGCACCGGACGGACCGCTCCCCAGACATTAGCAGTCGATCTCCACGCTACCTGCCGATGTTGTCAAGTTGCCTGCAGTTGGTGAGGTGGAAAACCGGAAACAGAGAGGTTTTACGTATAAAATAAAAGCTGGAATCTATTTTTCTCCAGAATGAAAGACTCCCTGTTTTAGGGTTTGACAGAAATCAGGTTTTTAAAGATATATTGTGTAGAGCTATGATCCCAATATTATCTGGATGATGTTAGATTATTACAGATATATTTATCAGTTTATAGTATGGAGTGACTAGAAAGGCCAAAGGTATGTTTTAGGTATTTGTCCTGACATATGTTGGTCACAAACGAAATTTAAATGGTTCTCATTAAAAGCGTTGATATTATTTCTTTATAAAAAATATAATTTTTGGTCCAAAATGATCATTAGATTTTTTTTAAATTACTAAATAAATTATTCAAAATTTAATTTTGGCTCTGTCTTTACTTATATTATGTCTGTATAGTCTTTTATGCGACGGTTATGGTCTAAATATAACCACAGTAAGCACTTTGCCATGAAAGTTTCACCCTCACTTCGGGTTTTATTTTGAAATTAACAACCGGAAGTTCTGTTACTTACTCTGCCTAGCTTGACCGACATACTTTGGCACTTTTGACAGTTAGCATGATAGCAGCTAGCTAGCCGGAAAAACTCCTCAGATATCATGCCAGCAAAACAGTCCGCACAAAGTTAAAAGTGTTTTTAGTTTCCGAACTCGTCACAGTCCGAGGATGTTTTCATCTGTCTGGAATTTTGTCAAACGCCACAAAAGGAAATTTATTTTCACCGGAGCTGTAGTTGGAGGTAAGAGTTAGCTCCTGAGCTAGCTGGTAACTTTAGCGACACGCCGGACTGCGCTCACAAATCTCGATGTTTAATATTTTCTTACTCACCAGGAGAACTTGTGTTTGTAAAAATATATATTTCAACAGCTTGTAAGAATTGTTTAGTATGTCTCTTCACTTCGGCGTCTATATTCTCGTCCAATCATCCTCATTAAAGTCTTTAGGTGTAATGTTAACCTCAAGTTAATACTTCATGGAAAAGAACCAAATATTGACTCTAATGTACACTGCGTGGTTTGCTGGTTATATACTGCGTTTAAAATGACTTGTAATGATTAAGTGAGAGTATTAAGAGGATTTGCATTTAAGTGAGACATCTTATCCATTATCGCCTTTCTGCGAGGCGATGATGAAACATGGTAATTAAACCAAAGTGCTGACCACTGAGTGTCTGGGTTGTTTATCTCCTGTGGCTTTATGGAAACCGCAGCTGGGCTCATCCTGTTGTCTAGTTCAGATCCAGCACTGGTGTTTAAAATCATTAAGTTTGTGTGTTTGTTAAATATTAATAAGGTTTTTGCTGATTCTGTGTGTTTATGATTTGTTTTCTGGCATGAACTGGTCAAATTCAAATGTAGAAATAAAAGTATGTAATGTTGGCAGCATCTATCTTTAACAAGGCGCATTGCTGGTGACTCTACATGCAGTTGAGACCTGAGGGTTATTGCCTGTGCTGCTTGATATAAGTTAGTATTACTTCCAGGGCTGCATCATATGGTAAATAAAACCCATGATATTGTGATTATTTTTGACAGATATTACAATATAAGTTGTGGGAATGATTGTCTTTGCATGAAATTTAATTTTCACCCCCCCAAAAAAACCCCAATTAAATCATGTGTTTGGGGTCTGTACCAAACCAAACATGTTTTCTTTAATCTGGAGAACAACACCTTGCACTTGGCCATATGGAGATCTTTGATAATATGTCGATTAATTGTGCAAACCTGACTACTTCTCACTTGTTGCCGGTCCTCCAGGAGTGTACTTCCTGGGTAAATATGCCCAGAAGAAGATCAGGGAGATCCAGGAGAAAGAGGCGACCGATTACATCGCTCAGGCCAGACGACAGTTCCACTTTGAAAGCAACCAGAGGACCTGCAACATGACCGGTGAGGACTTTACACAGGTCCTATGGAAAACTGAGAGATCATCTTTGCTCAACAGCACAAGCCATTTTAGATTTGACTGCACTAGATCATATATATATATGTGTGTGTGTGTGTGTGTGTGTGTTGCAGTGCTGTCCATGCTCCCTCCTCTGAAAGAAGCCATCATCAATCAACTGAATTCAGAAAACCTAACTGCACTACTCAAGACCAAGTGAGTACAAGTTCCTTTTACGGTTAGATTCAGTAGGATTTGTTTGTTTCCTAATGCACTTGTACACACTTCTCTACACTTTTTGTATATCTAAGGCTAAAATAGTGTTGATTGTTTTAAGCAGATATGCCATTGTAGATATAGTTGTCGTGCTAAATACCCGTGTTGAAGTATTACCTTTCTGTGTGTAGAGAAATAGAAAGTGTGCCGTGAAGTGCAATGTAACTCGCACTCTTGATGATGTAAAAACAAACCAGTAATGCTTCTTTTTCTCCTTTCACACATTGTCTCACAGACCAGCCAATAAACTGGAAATCTGGGAAGATTTAAAGATCCTCAGTAAGTTTTTGTTCTTCACATCAGACTAAACCATCTCATACGCTGTGAAGTGTCACACATTAATCCCGCTCTGCTTCACAAGAGAAAAACTGCCACCTTTTAAATTTCTTTGGTTTTTCTCATGTGAAACTTGTTGTCTCGTTCAGGTTTCACCCGCACCGTCGTCGGGGTGTACAGCACCTGCATGCTGGTGGTTCTGCTGAGAGTCCAGTTGAACATCATAGGAGGTTACCTGTACCTGGACAACTCCATAGGCAAGAACACAATGGTGAGAAACACAATATTCAGAAGCTTCACTTATAGAACCGGTAAGAACACAGTAGTAACTAATCCAGCTGTGTTAGTGTCTGCTGTTCACGTTATTGGAGTAAAACTGTAGAGACGTGTAGAGACGTCACTCTGATGTTACTTATAAGTATATATTAGTATATTATACCATCATATTGTCCCAGATTCTGGTGACGTCATCATTAAATGTCTTGTTTGCTCTGACCACCAGACCAAAACCCAAAGATGTTCACTTTAAGATGATATAAAACAAAAAGAAAAACAGTTGTCGGATCAATAAGTACATCACTGCACATGCAAACCTGTTTCCGATCGGTATACAGCGAGGGAAATGTACGTACACTCACTTTGAACATTATTATTATCATTCAGCCAAATAATCACAAACTCGCTTCAGGCACATTGAATATTTAATGTAAATCTACAAGGGGAGGGAGAAGATCAAAAATAGCTATTTAAATATTTACAAACTATTTACATAGAAGCTATGCAAACACCCTAATCCAGAGATCTGAAGAGAAAGAGTGAGAGGAAAGGTCAAACGTGACCCGCCACGCCACCACACCTACTGCACGCCCCTAGAGGAGAGGGAGAGACCCCGGGACTGCGAGTACTCTCAGCAGCATGCATGGGAAGGAGTTAAATGAAATATAAATATTTACATATGTGTGTGTGTTATTTATGTGTTTGTTTGTTTTTTGTCTCAGACTCCTCTGGCCCCCCCAGACGTCCAGCAGCAGTACCTGTCCAGTATCCAACATCTACTGGGAGACGGTAGGATGGAGATGTACACGCAGACACGTTTAACCCTGTTCATCCTTGCTTCCGTCAGTCTGTCAGAGTTTTATACCTCCACGTCTGTCTGTCTCCAGGTTTGACAGAGTTGATGACAGTAGTGAAGAAGGCAGTACAGAACTCGCTGGGAGGGTGAGTGCATGCAACTAATGATTACTTTCAGTTGCATTATTATATTGTTTGGTTAATTTTTTTATTGTTCAGTCTTTACAATGTCAGAAAATAGGGTCAGACAAGTTCCCAGAGCACCATGTGACATTTTCAAATCAACACAGACAGTCCAAAACAACCAACATGTTTAATTACATTCATTTTTGCTTCATAAGTAAACAGTTGTTGATTATTTCTCTGTTGGTTGGCAGCATGTCTCTGAAGCAGAGCCTGTCTCTGCTGGAGTTGGAGCAGCAGTTGAGTTGGATCCGAGCGGAGGTGGAGTCCGGCTCCGAGCGGCCGCTGTCCTGGTACATGCTGGCTGACGACGAGAACGCGCTCGCCGACCAGGTCACTACACACACAGTACGACGAGCTGTATTCACAGCATCACAGCGTCTGCTTGTTTAACCAGTCCTCTCTTGTGCTCAGGCGTGTGGGCTGACAGAAAACGATGCTGTGACCATCAGACTGTTAAACGAGACCAGAGACATGTTGGACAGGTAAACGCCACACCTGTGTTTGTACGCCTGTAGACTTGTGTGTTCTGGGATTCTGACGTGTGCGTTTGTGACTCCAGTCCAGACTTCTCCACCGTCCTGAACGCCTGTTTGAACCGAGGTTTCTCTCGTCTGCTGGACAACCTGGCCGAGTTCTTCCGCCCACCTCCCGGTGACTCCGCCCCCAGCTCTGCAGCCGATAGGTCAGCTGCTTGACCTTAAAAACCACTAATATTCTGTTCAGTAAATTATTTCCCCCTGCTAATTATAACGATGACTATTAATTATAAAGAATTACATAATTTAACTGTCAAACCTCTCAGCAGTGATTCAGAAATATTACAAAGGTTCCAGTTATTTGGTCACTGCTGCAGAAAGTTTGTTTGTTTGTTTGTTTGTTTGTTTGTTTTTAAGTGCAGACGCACAGCTCCATGTTGACATTGAACTGAACTGACTGCTTTCTGTCTGTCTGTCTGTCTTCTGTCTGTCTGTCTGTCTACTCAGTCTTGCTGCAGTCAGTCTGCCGCTGGCGAAGATCATCCCCATCGTCAATGGTCAGATCAACACCATCTGCAGCGAGACTCCCAGCCACTTTGTTCAGGTGAAACCAGGCTTCATTTGTTTCTTTTGTTCAGACACACAAACATCACAAACATCACAGTCAGGAAGCAGAGAGAACCAACTTCAGGAAGATTTACTTTGAACACTGACTTTCACCTCTTAATATTTAATATTTGTGGGTTTGCATTTAAAGAAGGTGAAATACTCGGACAACCAGATTTTAAACCAAATCCACATCTGAGGTTAATGGTCTACTGGTCAGTCAGACAGCAGATAAGCAGGTCAGGCTGCAGTTGTTTGTTGTGTTTGGCTGATATTGTGCCAACTCAGTAATCAGAAAGTCCACACTACAGATGTTTTATTTTAGAGACTCTGAACTGTTCTTTAATCTTTTTCATCTGCACTTTTTGGCTGTTCATTAACACTGACTGCTACAGCTAGGTATCAGACCTTTATACCTTTTTTAGTAGCGACTCAAATGTGTGATAGCAGTGAGCCAAGAACCAAAACCTGGCATCAGATGTCTTCTCTACTTATTCTTGTATATAAAAGTTTTAGATTCAATTCATGTTTTATTTTTTTAAACTGACTTTTATTAATGCACATTTCTTTCTTTCTTATTTATAAAAGTAGTTTTGTAGGAAATTTCTCAATTTGGTATTAAAACCCAAACTTAAAAAATACCCTGCACTACTGACTGCTCAAATAATAAATGTTGCATGTCTGGCATTGTTAGAACATGATAAATTATTTTAACGTGTGAATTAACTCTAAAACCTCTTAATGGGTGATTCCCACCTTTGTACAAGTTAATTTTGAAAATAAAAGCACATTTTAAAGGCCAGAATCAGCCAAAGCAGAATAACTATTATCACTCCTTACTCGTCTGTATGTTACAACTCTGCAAGTGTCTCTGACTTTCTGTCGCTCTGTCTCAGGACTTGCTGATGAACGACCAGGTCAAGGAGTTTGCGGCCAACGTCTATGAGACCTTCAGTGCGCCACAGGAGCTGCAGAAATAATCAACCAAGCACGAAGAGAAGAGAAAGGGAAAATTAGAGAGGATGAAAAGAGGGATGAAAACAGAAATAACAAAAGCCTGGACTGTTAATCCCTTCTTCCTTTCTGTGAGACACTTTTCTTCTCCCAGTCCTGCAGACTTTTCATTTTGACGGCGGGGATTCACGACAAGGCGGCAGTGGGTGTTTCTGTGTCCCCTCTGGGAAAATTATGGATTACAGAACTGGTGGAGGAAGAGGAGACTTGCTCTGGGGTTTGTAGTCACAGCAGGGCCTGTGATTAACTCTGGGACCACTGCATCTTGGGAACTGGAGTCTTATTTAACCTGGTAATTTGGGTTTTATTTACCCCAAGAGGTAAAGAACACACACTGAGAAAAGAACGGATCTCCAAATAAACTCTTTTCCAACATGACGATCCTGAAACACCGTCAGTTTATAATGATGATATTATAGATTTTCCCCTTTTCCAGTACACAGCAGTGGTGAGTGTTTCCATACGAGAAGGGTTTACAATGTGTAAAGGTTTTCTTCTTTCCTTTCTTTCCTTTCACAGCGTCATCCAGGTGGTAGTGGGATGTTTGTTGGGTTGGACCGATGTGGGCTGATACTGAGGTGATTTTATTTAATTTTTCTGCTAATATTCAGTGTTTTTAAAATGGTGGAAACGTCAGCAGCAGTTTTGTGGGTAATTTGGAGATATTACAGTTTACAGCTAAGAACGTGATTATCAATGAGTGAGAAGATGAACAAGCTGTATTTTCACAGCCATTGTCATTGATTAATTCCAAATTTAATATATGTATCAGAGGTGGGTGACTTTAAGTGGTCAAAATCTTACTTTTAATAAAACACTAATGTTAACAAACTCCTATCAGTCCAACCGCAGTTGTGTGTAGTTGCTCTTTTTCCATCTAAAAGACAACAGTTCACTTGTTTTGGTGCAGAGTCAAAAATGAGGACATGTAGACATTTCTGAAAAACAATCTATAAATACCGGTATGTGTTTTGGAGCATTTAATCCAGTGTCCTTTTCCCAGTGTAGTTCTTTTTCTGTCCACAAGGTGTCACTCTTCTTCAGCTGGTGTGTGAGACTCCCTCTGCATTGCCATCCTTTTGCTTTTCATATGAAGGACTTTATTCCAAAATTTAATTAAATAAAAGTTTTGTATTTGTGATTCTGTCCATGACAGTATTGGTATTGATCCTCGTTTGCATTGTAAAACGGTTAAACCTACTACAAGGAGTTTTTACCTGGTTATGAAACGGTCCCAATTTAATACTGACCCCTCTATATGACCTACGTAAACACAACAAGACTTATTGAAAAGCTGAAAGGATTTTAAAGCACACATTTTGACTAATAACATAACATTAACGATGGCTCCATTCCATTCAGTGTAAGCCATGTCAGTCGGTGAGCGTGCACAACACCAGAGCCCTGCTACTGGCTTATCTAAATGGAATGCAGCCATTATTGATATTATATGTGCTTTTCCTGCTTTGACGAGACAAAACATCTGCAGTGAAGAGGGTCTATTACAGGAGCGTTATCCAGGAAGCCAACAGATGTGTGAAACTCCATCCCACCACCTCTGATTAGCTACTTCAATAAATCGGGTGTGTTGGGCCAGTGGAGAGCTGGTTAACACACCGAGACTGGAAATACCCAGCACTTGGGGTCTCCAGGAGCAGCATTAAAGTGACTTTAGGGGACAGTTCAGTGAGACCAGGGGAAGGTGATTTTTTACATTATATCACAACTGACAGTTTCATCGAAGCGGATCTGTTAGCGGTGGCTTTCACTTTTGAATTCTATACTTTCATTTACTCTATATTGTTTCAGTCGTTTACTTAGATCACTGTAACCATAGTAAAATACCTCTCAGAGCATTACTTTACTACTCTGACAGATCAAATACTACTTAAGCTTTAATTTGTCCCACCTCGGTGATACACGGGCAGGGTTTGCTACCTATGGAGGTAAAGCTGCAAAGCAAAGGTAAAGCTCCTAAATGAATAGTAGAGGAAAAGCTGCTGATGTCATAAAACTGGAAGAAGTTAAAATATGCTTTGGTGACTGTTGGGATTCACCAGAAACCAGATTGTGGAGAGAAAGAATCCACCTCCTTTCAGTCTTTGTCTGTGGGTCATATGAGAGCAGGTAACCTGTAGCTTTAGGCCAGTTTCCTTCTCATTGAGATAACATCAGCTGACAGTCCCTCTAACTTAGTTCCTGATCCCTCGATGACTTAAACTGTCAGGTGAGAATGTAAATCTCTATGTAATCAATAATGTTATGCCTTTTGAAGCATAGCATCCTGAATGACAGCTGAAATGTATGTTTGTAGCAATTTACTGAAGAGATAATAAACATCAAATGAGATTTCATATACATTCTTTATTTTGTGTTTCCTTAAAAGAAAAAAAAAATCTGTCCAAATTCTTAACAACAAGTTTACTTTCCATCAAGCCAATTATTAACCAGGAAATAAAATGATCATGTCAACATTGTGCAGTAACAGATGAGAGGATGATGTCATCTCTCCTGTTTGGTAGTTTACACATGAACTAATGAAAGTTAGTAGTAGTTTAGCACATTAGGTTGCTAGTTGCTAATTAGCACTAAACACTAACTACAGCTGAAGTTGATGGGGTTTTTTTTTTTTATTAGTTTTGCAATATGGGACAGAAGATCACCAAAGTATATACAATTCATCTTGATGGACACAAAAATGTCAGCAGCAGATTTCATGGCAATCAATCCAAGAGTTTCACACAAAACCACAAATGTTGCCCTCATGGTGGCAGGAGAGAGAAAGTCAGGGGGTCCGAGTCAACAGGATGCATCATCTAATGGGGTTGAATGTCTGCACCCAGTGTACTGGCAATCCATCTGAGATATTCAATCTGGACCAAAGTTGGGTGACCTCAGATACATCCACACTGCCATCCCTACAGGTTATCCCTCGTTGTATTGTTAAAATGATAGCTTTATCAAACACATGAAATCTGAACATGCAGTAAATGTTCCTTCTGTCTAAAACTGTTGTTAAAACTTAATTTATCCATACTGTCTCTTGAGACATATTCCTAATTGTTACACTGAATTAAGAATAATGAATCAGATATTTTCATAATCAAGTTCTTTCTACTCATAAAACTGATTTATGTGACGTTCAAGTGCTGAATGTTTCCTTGAATCGGCCGTTATTGTGGGGACAAACAACCTCAGTGAAGTTATAAAGAAGTCATTTATGAAGGATGAAGCGCAGGAAGACAGGAAAAAGACGGCAGACAAAATAAATCTGCACGTACTGAAAACAAACGGGACATCACACACAAGTTCAAGGGTCACAACACCAATCAGTCATCATTAGATTTTTACTGATTTATATTTCAGACCACTCTTTGTTAAATTAGTGTGTGTGTGTGTGTGTGTGTGTGTGTGTGTGTGTGTGTGTGTGTGTGTGTGTGTGTGTGTGTGTGTGTGTGTGTGTGTGTGGGTGTGAGTATGTGTAACAGGACACATAATGACATTCATTTTCTTCCTGGTTGAGTGTGACTCAAGAGATGACTTCATCTTCTCCACTGACCCTCTCTGACATTTTACCTTATAAGGAGGAGACACGGAGTGTTTTTTGTTTTTTTGTCTTGCTGGGTGGTTAAAAGAATTAAATATTACATTACACTAAACTGTGCTGCTGTTCTGCTGTTGACATTCTTTGAAGCCTCACACATTGAAAGCTGCCGTATTAAGAGAGAAGCTGTCAGTGTTCCACCTTACGGTTGATTGCAGCACTGATCTGACCTGCTGAAGGATCCCTGAACAAAAAACTGTCACTCTAATATGATGACATTCCCTGATGACAAAAACAGAGAAAATTTCATTCTTTTCTATTAAGACAGTTACATAAGGAGTTTCTGTTTCTGACAATACTGAGTCTCCCTATTAAGCATTTCTAAGTGGTATTTATTGTTAGATACGTGTTTAGTCCTCCAGTAAGTGGAGGCTGTATAAACACTTCATTAAAAATAATATAGTAAAACACATTATAATAATATAAATGATATTATTATAATGTATGTCAATAGGAGAAGTGTGTTGAAAAAGTTATTACAAAACAATACATCACTTTAAAATGTCACTATATCATCTTACAGCGACATTACGATCTGTATGTATAAACCATTTATTAAAGGTCCAGTGTGTGACATTTAGGGGGATCTATCAGCACAATTACCCTCTTCCTTTTAAAAACTAGTGTGAAACATTTAAGTCCTGATAAGAAGAAAAAGACAGATGAAAACACTGAGCAGTGAACACTTAATATACTTATTACATATAGATATATATATAATATATTTATATTGTCATAATCTGTTCTTGTATAGCTCTTTTCATAAAACAAATTGCAAATATAGGCAACAAATCAATAACAAATGTAACATTTTGTCGGACCAGATTGAAGCTAAGCTAATAAATGAATCATCAATACTGAAAGATCAGAAATACAGCTGTATCATAATAGTCAACAACAGTAAAATATGTTGCACTTTGCCATGAAATAGAGTTAATATTAGAGTTCGATCACCTGCAAGTCATTAAAGTAGACTTTAATCAATTTTTAACCGAGATTCAGATACAAAACACATAATACTATAAAAAAAAAAAGTAAAACAAGGATCATGTTTGCATTGCAGTTTGTGATCAGACTTTGTGAGGACCCTTGTTGAAATGATCCCACCCCCAGCCTCTTAACCTCAAAGCTCAAAACCTCCATCCAAACCCTCACACAGCCCCTTTCAAACAGTAATTACTGAACCAAAAAAAGTCTCCACTGTTAGGGTCTAAAATGGGCCTCACAAAGATGAAAACACACATACACACTGTCAGACAGATGGGTAACAAAAAATGCCATGTGGTCAACACTGTGTGTGTGTGTGTGTGTGTGTGTGTTTGATGTGTTTGACCTCCACTCAGTTTCAACACAGAGCTGCCAGTCAGCCTCATAACCTCATGATCAGCCCCGCTCAACAGATGCTGAAAAACTGACAACACTGCTCTGCTGATTGTCTGATAACTCGGTTGCGAAACGTGTCACCAGGGCCTGGTGTGCTGATGAAATAATTTCTAGCGTTCTAAAGTAGCGCTGGAGCTCCACATAAACATGCTGAATCATGCAGAGTGGCAGAATGGAGGCTTTGTTCCATCAAAAAAAAAAAAAAAAGCCCTTTATTTGCTGAGTAACTGTATGCGGTCAAGCAACTTTCAATTAAAGTGCTGCTGGGCAGAGTCACGTTCAATACTGCAAAAACAGGTTCCAGCTCAAATTAGCCTGCATCAGATGACTGCGTGTCACAGTTTGAACTTTTGTCGTGGTGCTGTTTGTTGTTGCTCCACAATGAGTGATCGTCTTTGCCCAGTTTTGTGGCACAGTCTGAGCTGGAAATCCCCCAGTTGCTGAGCTGTAAGTCTGAGCTGCCGGTGTTTTTGAGCGCTGTCTGGCTGCATGAGGCCATGCACGTCTGAACCACTGACTAACATTGCATAAGTGAAAATATATAATGGACAGGAACAGGTACTTCCTCGTTGACAGAGAGTTTGGGAAAACATGTTATGCTGCAGAGTTAAGTTGAAATTCTGCTGAAATTCTGGAAAACTATTTGTTGATCATTAATCATTTTATGAGCTGTTCTCAAGAAACTGAGAAAACATTTTCTTTCTGACTCTTATTGCAATGTTTGTGACTAAATGGCCACGTTTGTGTTAATAACCGCACTCTCAGCCCAGATCAGCAGTGGCCATAGCCAGGGTTTTAGAGGCCATGTGTCCAACCCTAACCTCCTGAGAAAAAGTTTCAGGTTTTATATTGGTTTATATATTGGTCTCTCTTTTTTTTACATTTTGTTATGTTTTCCATAAAGTTTCATTTCAAAGGCAGTGTTAAAGCCCACAGCACATTGCCAGGAATATAATTATGTAGGATGTAACTGTTGTGTGTTGGTTAGAAATGAACATGGCACCACACCAGGACCTCTTTTTGAGTTTATCTTAGTTCACTCTGAAAATGACAAAAAGCAGAACCTGTATATGAATAATAATACTGCCCACACCAGCTCCTACACACACACAACAAATACACTGAGATAAAGTTTTAAGAATCAGCCCTAACTTTAACTAACATTCCAGTACGCTGAAGCCTGTATACTGACAGCTGAAGACAGGCAGATTGTAAGATTCCTGGGGACAATAAGTGGTACACCCACCACTCCCACAGGAGAATCATATGAAGAGGAGAGGTGAACCGGGCTAGAAGAGTTTATAGTTGGGACCACAGAAGAAGAAACGAAGGAGGAAGGGCGTTGAACTTGAACCAGATACACAGTGTAGACATACAAGGTCAGGTTCTAACTATAATTTGATAGATTTTGCAGAATTATATAGATCCCTGCACATATGACTGACTGGCTGGTTACATTTACAAATTATTTTTAATTCAATGTAATTTACCTTTGTTCTTGTCTTTTTGTCCTTTACAATGTATCCTACTTTAGTTTACCTAAAAATAGTATAGAGATATATAGATAGAGATAAAAATCAATCAGATTTTTTTAAAAAGTAGAGCGTTGAGAAATCTCACATTGAAATGGCAAATTGGCCCTATAGCTATGTTGCTACTAGGCAGTATGTGACTCAGCCCAATTTTCTATCAAATGAGCCATTTTCACCATAACCCACAAGCACTATAATAGCTACTGTATTTAAGATTTCTGCCCTTTAGATCTCATTTAAAGAAATGTCCCCACCCCCTCACATTTTCAGTGAGGCAGGAGGTTGAAGCACACAAGTGGGCGACAAGCAAACTTTCTAAACAAGAAAAAACAAGGCGGATTCTGCTCTTTACTGGGAGTGATGGATTTGAGCCTGAAACTTGTGTAGGAGAAGCTTTCGCATCCGTCATAAATCAGATAATTAATTAATTTTCTTCATGTAAGAACATTCAGAGTCCCAGTCGTGACGTGATGCTAAACACAAACCTCAGCCTGTAGATGTTGGAGTAAACCTGTGCTTTACAGGTTTACAACATACTTCCTAGAAGAGTTAATAACATGTTTGCGTAAGGATTCTGTAGAAGTCACCATGTGTCATACGTGTATTTGTTGTGTGCCCCCCCCCTCAAGAAAAAGTTGAATGTACTGTTCAACTGTTTCCCTCATGATTGTTAAGTTTTGAATCATATTCGCTGTGGTAACTTTCCAGAGATGTCTCATTGTATTATAAACCGCTGTGGAAAGTTAAAGCGCCCACTTGTCTTCCAACTAGTCGTCCAAGTTAAATAACAAAATACTGTCTTTGTCCATTCCCTCTAGTCTAGAAGGAGTCATTC